AAAAAAGCCACCAAAATTATGTCTGACCCCACTCACCCCAGTCATAACTTGTTTGTTCCCCTACCATCTGGCAGAAGGTTCTGGTCACTCTAGTCGCACACAACAAGACTCCAAAATAGCTTCTTTCCCAGAGCTGTCAAGTTGGTGACACCCCACTCCCTTCCACCTTATTATGATCTATCCTAACATCCTCCTGTACCCACAACCATTGTACTCCTACACCACCACACACACATGTAAGCCAAAATTGTACTGTCCCCTCGATAGCCCAGTAAAATTGTAACAGGCATAATAATATTTAATATTTATTAATTAACCATACTACTTTTAACCATACTATTTTTTTTTTGCACTGTTCCAAGAATTACCTTGCACTGTTTTTGTCCTGTTAAATGCTCTCTGTTTGCGGAATTTTGCACAGTTTTGATTACTTGATTACATGTTTTTTATGTTATGTTATAACATGTTACTGTTATTGCTATTGTGTAACTGTCTATTGTCTTATTTTCTGTCCTATTTATATACTGCACCTGAGTGACTAATGAGAAACACTTTTCCTTATACTATGCACCTGTGTAAGTTTAATGACAATAAAGTTGAATTGAATTTAATAGTTTTTAATTTAATAAGTCCAAGGGGGGTGAATACTTTGCTTAATGTCATGACTTATTTATCTCTATTAGCAGGGTTTGTAAAGGATTGTACCCTTTAAGCAAGAATGTAGCCTGCATAATGCTGAAATTAACACTTTTTTTTTCCCCCAGACACGAACTACAGTGAAGAAGTTGGCTGTGTCCCCTAGGTGGACAAACTATGGTCTCAGGATATTTGGCTACCTTCACCCTTACATTGATGGTGAGTTTGTTGCCTTTCCTATGGCTAGACTGATGGGTGATGCAGAACAATCTGTGAATGTGTTTAGAAAGCATTCTTGAGCAGGAGTTTCAGGAAAGGTGTGACTTTACACATGTTTCAAGATAACTAATTTTTTCCATTTCTCTGATCCAGTCGTTTTCAGGATTTTATTACTTTTGCCTCTAAAGAGTTGCTGTTTTTTTAACCTAATTCTGTTAATTGAAAGTATAATGGACCAAATAGATAACATGCAGGTTAACTTAATCTCATAAATCGCCAACTTTAAGGTTTTGTAACGACCCTGGCCACCCCACCAGGGAACAGACCCAAGGGGGCATCGCAGTTCGAAGAGAGCTGCCGGCTTACTTCACCTCGGGCGCTCGACAGGCTGACAAAGAGCAAGGCCAACCTGAGGTGGATGTGTCCCAGTTCCAGGAGAAGGGGCCGCCCATATATCTAATAGTTCCCCGGGACACTGGGACTGTACAGGATTCAGACATTGGACACAGGAAAGGAGGGCAGGGAGAGCCACCTGAGCTATGCTGAGGGGTGTGGAGCCTTGAGCCAGGCAGGATACTCCCAGTCAGGGTGGTCCTCCACAAGGTGAAGCGAATACCGAGATGACCAGGGTGTGCAGTCTTCAATGGGTCTTCTCAGAAACCTTGCCAGTGCGTGCCATCTGGGTGGACCAGATTGATGTGCCGGAAACTGGGCCAAGAGAGTCATCTGCTGAGGTTCAACCAAAGTGGGGTCCCGACCTCTTCTCCACACAGCAGCCTGGAGAAGCCCTTGACAGCACAGCTGGGGGACAGAGCTCCAGGCAGAGCCCAAGAACAAGAAGGGCTCCACTGGGAAGCTAGAATATGGCTTGGAAGTGAAGTGGAGTAAACGTCAATGCTGGATCGCCAAGGACAGACTGAACAGGGTTTAAATACCCCAGGACACCTGGGTGTGACCTCTCACTTCAGCTAGGTGCTCTGCATATGCTGTCTCTTCTGCAATCCAGGCAGAGCGGAGGTGTGGTCACTGGCCACTGCAGCCTGATCGAAACAGCTTTCTCCACAGTTTAATTGGTTTGGTTCTCCTTTATGATCTCTGTAAGACTAGTAATTCCTATAAAAAATTACAAATTGTAACCATCTTGATTCAGAAAGTATAAGGGAAATAATTTAGCCACTATTGGGTTAACCATGATAAAATAGTGAGAGGTAATAATTTCTGCAAAAAGCTGCACAGGCACAAATAATAGAGCTAGTTGATTTCTGTAAAACAGTAATATCTCTGACAATTTTCTCTAGAATTTTGTTTTTGTTCTCTCTAGAATTTTTGCATTGCTTTTCACATCTTTTAAATTCTTAATAAATGTGTGATGAGAAACAGTTAATTTTAACTATTTTAGAAACTGAAAGTTTTATTTTTTGTAACAGAATTTTTTTTGGAATAATACTGGTCATTATGGTGTTCTACTTTATACTTATTTTTAAATTAATGGGCTTCGAACAAGTGCCATCTTTATTGGAACTCAAAGATTTAGTGGTGAATTTTGCTTTTCAGTATTTGTTATTATTACTGGTGCATCAGAGCACCAGGATTCTGGGTTTAAATTAGACATTTGTCTGTGTGGAGTTTGTTCTTCCAATGTTGATGTCGGTTTTGCTCTGGTTTCCTCCCTCCTCCCTAAGACATGCTAGGTATTCTAAATTGCCCCCTTCTCTTGGCCCTGTGATAAACTGGCGTTCTGTGGAGGGAGGGTGCAGTTATGTGGTCAGAGTCTCTGCTTGTGCCCTGTGCTGTTCTTGTAGGCTCCAGAGTGCCTTGACCCTTACCAAGAAAAGCAAATTTGTGACAGATGAATGGGTGGGTGGATGGAAGGATGTTTGCTGTTCTCACATTTTTGTTTTGTTTTTAGATGGGGTTCTGTAGTTTGTACTTAGCCCTGAGGTTTTGGCCTGTAAGTTGTTTCTAATATTTAATTGCAATACTTGGCTCAATCTTAAATTGGTAGGCCCTACAGCTCTTTCAAGAGGTCATTTGGTTTTTTGTGGGTCTTAATTTTGTGTTTCAGAGATGATCTAGCTCCTTGTAACAAGTAGCATGAAGATGGAAATTTCTATGTAATGATGATAAGGGGTGGACAAATTGTAAAATTATAAACTTTAAAAACTTTCCTCAGGAATGTTGGCCTCCCTAATCTGTACGTATAGTGACAGTGGAAAATTACCAACACTTCATAATGTTAATGTATGAAGTCAGAATGATGGCAGGGTTTTAACCACCTCCTGTTGCCTGTGCTCTTTTGCCTTCATACAGTGGGTGCCACATGTACTATATGTACAGAGCAGCAGCTGTTCCTGTAATGTGATCCACAGGGAACAGGACACCCTTTTGTAGAGTCTGTCTGCCTTTCACTGCACCAGAATGGAAATGGCATTGTTTACAGCATGAAAATGAACAAAATCGATACCTTTCACTTTTCATTAAAGTAACGATTAGCATTTTATTTTGTGTTTTTGGTATTGGTCAGGGAAAGACAGCTCCAATCCGCAAGTGGTAGCTTTTTTTGTTAATTTAACAGGTACCTGTCTATTAACACCTGACTTAACACCTGCAAAACACAGATGATTTCACTTCTTATCCACTTAATTAGTGTACTTTAAGTAATTAAGCTCTGAGATGAAATGAAAACTAGAAGCATATGACACCCTAGGACTGTACTGCAGTTGCCTACCTCTTGTTTGGGTTATTCTGCTGTTCCATTAAATCACATTATTCACAATGACTTCATTAAATGTTTTTGGACAGGAGACCATTACAGTTCTTTTGGGAGTCACAAAGTATCCATGTTCATTTTTTGTTTTATTATGTTTTTTTTACCTATATGGGGTTTCATTTTTTAATTATTTAATCCTCCATTTAATGGCTGTAGTGTGAATATTATTTCTAGTGATTATCTGTTTATTGGATTCAGTGGATGTGATTTAACAGACAAGAGTGTGAAACAGTAGTTGAATGAGAGTTAACACATCACAATGCCTGTGTTCTAGGTGAGTACCAGTTTGCAGTGGCCTCAGACGATAATTCTGAATTCTGGCTGAGCTCGGATGACCAACCATTAAATCTAAGTCTCTTAGCTTTCGTGGGAAAGGTGAGTAAGTAAAAAAAAACCTTCCCTCTATACAGGACATACTGCTCCAATTGTTTTCGTTCATCTTTAGCGATTGTTTTGTAATTCACCCCCAGACACAGATTAGTCCTCAAACTAATGTGTTAAAGATAACACAATTTAAGTGCAATGTAAATCATCTTCCTTTGTTTTTCTGAATACCTGAAAATCCTAAAATCTATCTGGATTGCGTTCATCCAGAATCCCATACATCTATCCTTAATGTATCCTGTGCAAAGTCTTACAGACAATACAGTACATCTGCATCACGGTAGACATTAGTGTTTGGCCTTCTTGAACATTTACCATAAGATAACAGATCAATTTATTAGCCATATACAATTAATTGCATTAGGAATTCGTGAGGTGAGACACAGACACACAGACCGGGAGAAAAGCTTGGGGTTAGAGCACAGGGTCAGCCATTGTACAGTGCCCCTGGAGCAGTTGGGGTTAAGGGCCTTGCTCAGGGGCCCAACAATGTAGGATTCCTCTGCCAGCCGTGGGATTTGAACCGGCAACCTTCCAGCCACAGGCCCCGGCTGGCTGTTTTTTTAGTGAGGGAATAGAACATTCAGAATTCAGTCCTTTACTTTATAGTGTATTAAAGCTCGACATTTTACCCACATCTATTTGGTGATGTATTGTGGTGAGAATTTAATGTATTGACACCTCCTCAAATTCTGAATGTTCAAACTCACTGTTAGGGGGGAAATGTACCTTTGGTCGAAGTGACAGCCGTGAGTTATTTTTTGATAATATTTGCCTTTACTTGCCTAACAAGCTTTCCTTTCCCTGTTTGGGAGAAGCATCCCCATAGCATGATGCCTCCACCACCATGCTTGACTATGGATGGTGTTGGTGGAACCTGTACGTCTAATGCAGATCCACAGATTGTAGCATGAGTTGATCTTATCTGTCCACAAAACAGATTTTGAAGGATTGCATAGGTGCTTTGTTTAAAGGTAGTCCCTTTATACCCTACCCAGGGGGTGTTAAAGACGGCTTTTTCCACGTTTTGAAAATGTCCAAATGTAGTTAATTTTTGGGAATCCTTTTATCCTTCTTTGTCCACTATCCTACATAAGGATTTTTCCTGTTCTGAACCAGTGTTAAATGACTCTACTTTTAGTTTCCCACAATGGCAGAAATCAATCTGGTTTGCTATTTTAACCAGAGATAAAAGAATACTGGCATTGTGGTGGGAGACTCCACCCTCTCATTGGCATCATTGAATTCGGTCCACTCTTGCTATAAGTTATTTTGAGCTTTCTAGTACGTGCGTCTAGTACGTGTGGTGTAGGGTGTGTGTAGGGGAATGGGGTGGAGACTTGGAGTGCTCCTGCTGACACGGTCAAATCCTTATTGAATAGTGCTTCTGTCATAGCTGTCTCATTTTGTAGTTGGGGCCTTCAGAGAGGGAACCAATTGTGGCATGTGTGTTGGGGGGGGGGGGGGATTGCTCTGTTTTTCTGTTTTATTTATTCTTTGTTTTTTAAGATTAAAGTTAAGTAAAAGAGGTAATAAGCAGAACATGGTTTGAAACTGAATACCATACTCGTAAAGTAATGAATTTGTATAATAGTATATTTATACTTTTGTTTTAGGTTTTACAAAAACATAAAATGCATCAAAAAGTCTCTTTTCTCAGATAAACAACATTCAGAAGTAGGCTAGTGATAAGATAAAGACAGCTAACATGTTTTATGTTTTCACATGTTCTCAGATTTATTCAAGTAAACCACACTGAAATGGGCTAAGACATGCAGTGAAAGTTTTTAAAAACATCTTTAAAGGTGTTGAGTATTTATGTTTTTGTAATTATGATACAGTATACAGATGTATTAGTAATCATATATCTACAATTAGATTTTATTTGCCCCTCTTTGTTTGAAAAATCCATGGGAAACTTCCTTTGGCCATTCAGGAGCTTTTCTTCAAAGTGATTGTTAAAGAACAATCAAGATCCCTTCAAAAGGCATGAAAACAAAGCACAGTCATAGAGAGAGGTCATGAGCTGTCCTTTCGTACGTGCTTTCTTGTTCTTATCATGTGTCCGGCTATCTTGTAGACTGGGAAAAAAGCTCAAATCACACAGAAAGGAAGAAAAGTACTGCAGCCTTTTTAATGTTTTACACTTCACTTTATTGAGGAAAATGCTGCTGACCTTGAGTCTCCAAAATGATTAAATTCACTTTTATTCTGTCTGTGCTTCTTATTTCCTAGCTAACCCATTCAGTAGTCTTAATTTTTTATTTGTGATCATTCACTCATTCTTAATTTATTCATCCACTGCAAATTTAATTGTTTTGTTTTTCCCTTTTCTTTTTTCTCTTTGGTGGTGGACCTTTGTTTTATAACAAAGCATTTTATTTCTTTGTGTTTCTGTGGTTTTCTTTCAGACTGGCAAAGAATGGACTGCCCCAGGGGAATATGAGAAGTATACCAGTCAGATTTCTCGCCCAGTGCAGTAAGTGAGCGTTTTTAATGCCAAGAGATCAAATAACATTCAGAAACAACTCTACTTTTTAATTTTTGGCTTGACATCAAAATGCAAGTCAAACACCACAGCAGCCTTGCTAAATAAAGCCTAGTGTAACCAATATGTATACTGAAAATCACTTAATTTAGTTTAAAGATTTAAAGTTCAAGATTGCTTCTGTTATTTAAAGCTGTTGTTAGGGCCAAATATGTAATGGAAATCTTGAATAGTTTCGAAAGAAGTAGGAAATTCTTAAGTGTGTCTGTTTCATTTTTCCTTGAGATAAACATTTGAAGTGACGACAGTAATTGAGAAAATGTCAAACAGAATAAAACGAAAATAAATGTATGAGAATTGTGTAATAGAAATTAGTAATATTCTTGGTTACAGAATGGATTAATCCTGTCATGCAGAATTTGCCGAAAAATGTTCATTCATGGTTTGTAACTTACAGCTTACTGAGAATAGGAATCTTTTTCTCTCAAAATTTGAGAGAATAGGATAGTTTTGAAAGAAGTCCTGGCTGAGTTGAAAAATGAAAAACTTACTATACAATTCACCAGTTTAGCTCAGACAATTATAAAAAGTGGGGAAGTAGGGAGCTTCAAAGCTGTAAGTTTGTATTATTTCCCATTTGTTTTCTATGGGGTGATGGTAAAATATCAGAATAGAACAGAGAGAGTATCTTTAATATCCCCAAGGAGCAATTTGTTTTAAAGCAGCAGACAACATAAAAAAACACACACACAAACAAGCAATACATATAAACATTAGTAAGAGAATCATCCATTGAGCAAGGTTATGGGCATACAGTAGGTATAAATGAGAACTTGAACCTGTATGTTTTTAAATTGGGAAATCTGTATCTGTGTTCAGAGGGGAGTTGTTGGAATTCATGAAACAAAGGGTAAGAAAGGTCATCTAGGATGGAATATGTTTTACGCAAGACTGGTAACATATAGAACTGGGATAGGGCCGAAAGATCAGCACCAATGACTTTCTGACTCAGTTTGACAATACCCCCAGTTTTCTTACTCTTCCCAAGAGTAAGAAATTCACATTCCCAAACCAGCAGATCAGGGCAAAAGTAAAATCAGATGCAATAAAAGTCTGATAAAACATTATGAACAATGAATACTTAAATAAATTGATTCAGGAAGTGATTGATACCTAACCATGCAAAGCAGCTTCCAGAGTTTGTGCTGCTTAAGTTTCACTTTTTGGGAATTAAATTTTAAAAACAACTTCACCTAGTAAGGAAGGAATTACTTTAAATACCTTAGAAATACCTTGCTATCCCTGCAAATAACTGGTGTAAATTACCTTTAATTTTATTGAACAATAGTCACAGAGAAATAAATATTTGAATTATTTCCCCACTCTGGATGTTTGTGAGTTTAAGAAAACTGTAGTTAAAAACTTACTATATACTGGAGAAACAGTAGTCATGTCCTTAGCCTACATTTCTTTTTCCTTCTTCTCTTAGGCTGAAAACAATGAAAAAGTACTACTTTGAAGTTATACACAAACAGAATGACCATGGCACAGACCATGTGGAAGTAGCTGTGAGTAATTCATTTTTATCAGTTATTATTTAAAGAATGAGATTTACATCAAATATCAAGGGGAGATCCTTTTTTACTGAATGTGTTGATTGTTGAACGTCTTTTGTCTTCTTATTCACTTTGGTCTTATCCAAAATATAAAAGCACTGTGGATAATACTGAATTTCAGAAGGAAAATGTCTGTAATACAGGAGTTGTTTCTATGAGTTGAGATATAAAGAAACTATCGGCAATTCAAAATTGAGTCTGTAACATGAACAATACTTAAAATGCTTTAAAACAAAGCTGTTGAATAAAAGCTGTGTCACCTAGAACTGAAGAACTTTATTTTGTCCAGGAGCCGCTGAATAATGAACAGCACAGAAATTGATACTTGAGTAGGAGCTAAAATCACTTGTTAATTTTTTGAGTATGGTACCTGCTCTGACTGTTTCTTCTCCTGCTTTGATAAAACACCTGTAACATTTAATCGTGAGAGGGGGAAAGAAAAGGGAAATAATAATAATAATTATAATTAATAATTGCTTACACTTATATAGCGCTTTTCGAGACACTCCACTCAAAGCGCTTTACAGGTAATGAGAACTCCCCTCAACCACCACCAATGTGCAGCATCCACCTGGATGATGGAAAGGTTTGCTTGCCAACTTTAATCTGCGGTTGATATTACAGTAACCATGTTAAATCCCGGAGGAAGACTGCCTTAAGTTCTGTGTTGCGCAGTGCGACATTATTAATTCATATTACTAAAAACATATTTTTACTTTTGTTAGGTTAATAATAACAGTGCAAGTAAAACAGCAATTACTGGTGGTCGGATTTCCACTGTTTAGGTGGTAGAGCCAACAGAGGTCAAATTTGTATATATTAATAAATGTGTGTGTGGGTAGTGTTGTTTGGTTTTGTGACTCAAAAATATCTCTCAAAGGAGCAGGAGTGGGATAGCCTGTTTAAAAAAAACATTTTTAAATGTACACCGTTGGTAGATTTGGGTTTATAGTTTTATAATCTTTATTAAATCATGTTGTCAGTCATTTGTGTCTTTTGCAGACCACAAAACAGTTATAATGTGGCGTTATGCATCAGATTCATTCTGTATTTCTCCATCAGATTGGGGAGGTAGACTTATTTTGAAATATAGCTAAATATTGCATTACAGTTTTGTACCTCAGTTTTGTTCAAGTTTGAAAGGTACATTGCATAACATTTTTTTGGGGGTGAGGGGGTGGCTGGTGTTTAAAATGGCAGAGAGAAATGCTGTAGTGTTAGTACACAAAAAGATAAATATTAATTTCCAAGTGACAAAGATCTGAAGCCCTAACAACCTTTTTTCAGTGAAATTTTACAAAAACTAATTTTAGCGGAGGCCAGGCCTTTTAAATTCATACATTTGTCTTCCACACATTTGTTTTTCGTGTGAGGGTGATTAGTGGTCTCAAAACATTATCTCTTTGACTATAAAGTATTGCTTTGCCATTCAAGGTTTTGAACACAGTAGTTCATTAAAATGTTTTTAATATCACTGTCATTAGATGAAGCATACAAGACATTTCTGGAAACACACAAATGCTGCTGCACTACAGCAACTATTTACAAAGTCTAGAATTTTTAGGTGAAAAAATTTAAAACGTTATGCTTCATTTTATGGTGGGGTGTAATGGAATTCAATATGCAAAGCAGGGTTTTAAAGCTGTTTTTTTTAGTTTGTTTTTGTTTTCACACCATTTAAATCTAACAACAAATCAAGAAAGAGTGCAGGTAAAGAAAGGGCACATAATTAATATAAAGGGAAAATCAATTTAATGACCCAAGTCGTTGAAAAGACAAAAAAAGCATGTTTTCTCCTTTGTTGCACTAGCAAGATGCAGCCTAGCCAAACTCCAAATATTCTCTTTAAATGATTGCAACCATGTTGTGATTTTGGGGTATCTCAGCCTTAACCCAGCCTCATAAGGTTTGCAGATGCACCTAGAGTGGCCGGGGGGAAAAAAAATCTCATGTTTCAACATTAATCACTTGTTTAAAAAAATTGACCTGTCCATTATATATGATCTTCAGCAGTTTACAGACTCAATGAGCAGTTAAAAACAGTAAGGAATGAAGTCCTGAATGACTAAACCAGAGAAGGTGCTCACCTAGAGGCTGAGATATCATTGGCTGGAACCTGTGTCATGTTCCTAATCGGGGATAGGGTGGGCATTAGTTACCCAATGTCCCATCAGCTTCTGTAATTTTCTGGGCACTTCCAAGCTTACAGTGACATACGGAAGAGATACAGTGCTTCTCCAGATAGCAATAACTCTGCTTCAATTTACTGTGGATTTTGTACTGTGTGAAAGGCTCTGGCAGGGGGCCTTGTTGGAGGAGCATGTCTGCAAGTCTAGCTCCTGTTCTGCTTTATTAGAATACAAAGCTGTAGGTGTAACGGTATGTCAAATGATTGGCAATTTCAAATTGGGTGGGCATATGATACAAGATAATTCTCAATAAAACTGTCCCCTTAAAATAATTATTTTACAAGCAAATAAATGTTAGTATGTTTGCTTTTGGAGCAATTACACTCGATTTCACCTTTCTTTGTTTTTTTGCAGTGGCGACTCAGTAACTCTGGCTTAAAGTTTACAGTCATCAATTCAAACTATATTTCTCTCTACAAAAGTAAGTTTGTAGTCAGTTTATTGACCAGGTTCTGCAATTCTAAGAAAGTACACTGCCCATTTAATTTTAAGTGTATTTTGGCACTTCAACTGCTCATTTGCCTTGAGTTAAACTACTTTGTTGTAATGGAAAACTAAATTACTGAGGTGGCTAAATATTTTGGTGGCCACAATGTTTATGCCAACTACCAGCCTTTTTTTAGTAAGGTGTTTCTTAAAAATGTATTCAGTTTAAAAACTTGTTCTTAATCTTAAATACATGTGTGGTTTGTCTTCAGATGTTCAGTGTTCAACAATTATGATCTTTTTACATCTTTTTTTGACTTCATCAAATATTTTTTAATTTTGTCTGTTGAATTTTCTTCTTCTTAATTTTCATTTATTTTTTAAGTAATCCAAAAAGATGTTATGATATGAATGATGGTAGTTCACAAAAGCCCATCTTTACTAAATTAACTTTAATTATAATCTACTTTTCTTACTGCTTGACCAGCATAATTTACAATATTACAGTGGTATTTCTAGCTTTCTCTTCAAATGAATAACAATTTAATTCCACTTACATATGTCAAGGTTTGTTTTTTAAAGTTTGTGTATTCCTATAGCCAAATACTTTTATAATATAAAAATGAAAAGGGCAGTAAATACATCTTATCAGTCCAATACAGTTTTATAAAATAATTGTTGACATTTAGAGATTAATTACCCTGTTATAAATGACATGCTGTGTAGTAAGCACAGGAACTGTTGACATTAATACTTTGTTCATCTGAGCATGCTCCCCAGTTAATGTCACTTGAAAGTGTGCGTGTGCAATTTGATTTCATCATGTTATTTTAAATCTTGACTGGATCTGCAAGTATACTAAAATATTCTTAAATATTAACATTCTGTTGAAAAGAAGGGATTCATATTAACTCTAGTCTTTTTTTTTTAAACCTGTGCACGTAAATTAACCCTTTTTTATCGTGCCGGCTGCTACATTCCTCTATTATTTGTCTTCCTTGATTTGTCCCTGGGCAGATGAGTCTTCTCTGAAGATGAGCGAGGTGAGTCACGTCCCCCAGTCAACGGCAAGTCATGTGCGGTCCTACAGTGAGATGCAGCAAACCACCAGTCACGGTGCAGAGATGCTCAGAGAAGACCCCCGAGATACGTTCTTTCAAGGTAAGCCCCTGCTAGTTTAATAGTTCCACAATTATTGGCAATTTAAATACATTTTCAGGAATATAGAAAACAGATCTAATGTCTTTGTTGTCCGTATTTTCTCGTGGTTTGTTTTTGTTAGGTTTCTGTGTATTTTAAACCTTGTGTTTAACTTGCAGTTTAGACATTGAGACTTTCAAGAAGTGCCAAATGCCATTGTGACAATATTGTTTCGTATAGCCACACTGTGCTGAAAAAATGCAGACTCTCCTGGCTTGGGTTTGTGAAATGCTGGAAAAAAAACGGATATTTGTAGATTTGCGGTTTACAGTTTTCTTGTTTTCACATTTTGATTTTGTATGTTTCAGTTCTTCTGTTTCAGATTACTTCAGCATTTTCTTTGTCTAGACATTTTAACCCTTACGGTGGTTTTCTCTCAAGTTCCTATGATAGACAGTTCCTATCTGCGCCGTGTTCTACCAGACTGCACTTATAAACCCACCTACAACATCAAAGGTTTCCCACTGCTGCGGTATCAGGGTTTACAGTTTGTAAGTATGGCCTTATGCTTCCCTCTCAGCATATTTAAACACAGCGCTCATAATTTAAAGGTTTTTTTTATTGCCAAGTCCCTTCAACAATAAAGAGTTGAGACATCAGGGAGTCGAGGTTAATGCTTTGCTGAAAAGTAAGAAATAGAAGGACAGCCTCCACAGCTGAAACTGTTTTCCCTTCTTTCTACTTTTCAGTACAGAATTAATCTCCGCTTGTTCCTTTGCAGCTCATGTACAGATGGAGCTCCCCACTTCAGTCTTGTCACTTATCAATCATTGATTCTCATTGGTCACAATATTCAGAACCTTGATCACAACAATTAAAAGTAAACTGTGCATGACCAGCTATATAAAGCAACAAACCAGCTAGCCCATCACATTTACTGTGTAAATCTAGTTGGCTCATTTTCAGGTTTCTTCGTTATTAATATATTGTTCCTGTCAATACCCCTGCAAAGCTAAAAAGCTACTTTTTATTACCAAAGATGCTATTGATATAAACCTTTTGATTTGGTTTATTTAGATTTTCATTTAATTTCATGAGTAGCATATTATAGTGTTTTCTCTCAGATATTGTGAAATCATTAATATTTTTAATGATATATATATATTTTTGAAACAAGATATGTCAACAGATATGTCAGTTAGATTATATATAAACACTATAGTTTTATGTAATTCATCATATTCAGCACCCATGTCACCCTGCAGTTCACATCTGGCAACCCACTGAAGCTCAGCAGGTGTGAGCCTGGTCAGTACCTGGATGGGAGACCTCCTGGGAAAAACTAAGGTTGCTGCTGGAAGAGGTGTTAGTGGGGCCAGCAGGGGGTGCTCACCCTGTGGCCCATGTGGGTCCTAATGCCACAGTATAGTGACAGGGATGCTATACTGTAAAAAGGCGCCCCCTTCGGATGAGGTCCTGACTCTCTGAGGTTTCTCGAAAAGAGTAGGGGTGTAAGCCAGGTGTCCTGGCCAAATTTCCCATTGGCCATTACCAATCATGGCCTCCTAATAATCCCCATCTATGAATTGGCTTCATTACTCTGCTCTCCTCCCCACTGATAGCTGATGTGTGGTGAGCGTTCTGGCGCTCTATGGCTGCCATTGCATTATCCAGGTGGAAGTTCAATAATTACACACAACAAAAGAAAATGTATTTTCTAAAAGCTTGACTCTGAGCTTAATTAAATGAGACATGAAGGGAAAAAAAAAGTTTAAAAAATTTGGTAATGGAAGACAGTTCATTATGTTTACAATCTCTTATTGAACATAGTGACTTTTAAGTGTTTTTATTTATTGCATTTAATGGTTTGGTTGTCACTTTTCATATAATATGTAACTAATTCTAGTTTGAAGGGCTTACTCTTTAATGGAGCTTTTCAACTAGGAAAGACCTGTTTAAACACAGGCAGCATTAGCCTTTTGTTTGTTCATGGGTGTGTATCAGGGAGGTATAAAACGCTTTAATCGTCACATAGTTAATAAGTACATTTGGAACTCTTTGGACTTTAGAATCATTGTAGTTTTTTTTTTAACTTGGCCATATCACTTATTCCTATGACTAACAAGTATGCAGTACGGTCCAACAACTGGGTGAAGTATAGCATGGCTAAAGATTCACAATGCTGAGGCTCATCAAATATTTGACCTTTTCCTTTTTAATATATTACAGTTGTCCAGCTGCTAATTGTATAGTTGGCTAATGTGTAAGAGTACTCTAGAATGTGTATGTATATAAACTGTAAATGTTACCTTAAGAAGGCTCAACAGCCAAAACATCCTTTCTATTTTTCAGATGGGTTGAAAGGCCTCCACTTGATTATAAAACTTAATGGTCAGTTGATATTTAATATTTGAAGAAGTCATCGCTTTACGCAGTGTGCTCCCAAGCTCCCAAGTAAAGCGATGACTTCTTCAAATATTAAATATCAACTGACCACTGTATTAAATACAGGTTCAAATAATTGAACAATGTGTTTTTATTTCTACCTCAATTTAAACCTATTGTTTTTAATGTGATAAACTGTAGTAGTATGTATTTGGATGTTGTGTTATCAATGTGTATAAGCACACAAAATGTGATGCACACCTGTACTGCCTGTCTGGAGTGCATATGTAATTGACCAGGTGTGGACATAATATTTTTCAGACAATGCGCTTCATGTAGTGAAACACTGGATGTCTTTCTCTGGGGATATTTTGTGCCTAAATATTAGTGCCAATAAGTAAGCCAATGAACCATTGTACTATTCACTTTTCTTCATTTTGTTTTTTTTTCATTAGGTGCGTATGTCCTACGTTTACCCCAACGACTACACAAGACTGACACATATGGAAACTGAGAATAAATGCTTCTACCATGAGAACCCATACTACCTAGAGAAGTAAAGTGCCTGTTTTTATTTTCTACTGTGACTATGATAAAGTAAATCTGTTTTAGAAGAAGGTATTATTGAAGGTGGTTAGAAATACATTTACATACATAGATTTTTTTTTTATTTCCATTATTATTAATATGAAGTTATTTACACAGCAAAGGCAAACTTAGATATGGGTTTATAGCAACTCCAGGTTCTTTAAGCAAAGACCAAGTGAGGTAATTACAGAGTAATATTATTTTGGTAGAAAATTTAAGTTAGTTAAAAACATTACATTTATGCTTCATCTAAATACAGGTTGAGAATCCCTTATCCGAAATTCCTGGGACCGAAAGTGTTACAGATTTTGGATTCTTTCGGTTTTCAGAATATTTTTATACAGTATTTGCATCTATAAAATAGGACAGCTTGGGGGTGGGACCCAAGTCTAAACACGATATCCATTTACATTTCATAATATAGCTTGCACTGTACATATACCCTAAATGTAGTTTTATATAAATTTTTAATACTGTTTTAAACATAATACCATAAGAAAGGTAAGATATCAGTCTCCACCTATGATGTCATGTTTTGATTAAAAGGTTACAATACGCGTACGCCATTTGTATTTTATTTTTTACTATACAGTATTAAGTTTTATGTAAGGTATAAAAAAACATCTAATATGATTACAGGTAAATAAAATGAAAACTGAAAAAAGTCAGCATTTTATTTTTAAAGTAATGACGCTTGTCAAGTTACACTCATACTGTACATGGAGGTGAAATTCAGATCTCACATAAAAATAACGTTTTGTACTTACTGTACAAAAAATCAAAACAAAACATGATGATCATTGCTTACAAACTTGATAAATGCAGCCACAGACATTACAACTATATCAGGTCTGAGAAACTTGAGGGAGAGGGTATGTCATCGATGACATCACTGTGAGCTAGAAAGTTTCGGATTTTGGAGGTTTTTGGATTTTGGAATTTCGGATAAAGGATTTTCAACCTGTACCAATGAGTACAAGTATAGGGGCACACTTCCTTTAGAAATTGACATGATTAAAACTTATGTTATGTATGCTTTTTAATGTGAAACTTTGCAATGTCTGCAGTACATATGATTTGCATACAGCCGTGGTTTAGTCACTGAATTTACTTTTTCAGTGTGCTATAGTTCAGTTGTTCCACACAAACTACAACGCTTTAAAAGTAGTTTGCTGAAACACCAGAAGATGGCACTATCATACAAGAAGCCACACAAAGGATATGAAAATAGACTGCCCCAAGATTAAATTGAATATAGCTGGCAATTTGGGTGATCTATTTCTCATATGATTTGTTCTAGTTCAAACCTATTTTTTGCTTATGGAATTACCAAGAGGTTGGTTATTGAGAATACAACTTTAGAAGAAGGTTGGGTCACATGGATGGACCAGTTTTAAGAAAGTTAATCACTGATCTTTATGAAACACATTTTAAATACCTAATGCAAATAAAACCTCAGTCATGTTACTTTGTTCTGTGACGTAGATAAATTAATGGGACATCCATCGATATTCTAACCACTGTATCCAATACAGGGTCACATGGGAGCCAGAAACTATAGTGGCAAAAGGCAAGGAGCAAGGCAGGATACACTCTGAATGCGATACATCCATTACAGGACACACGCACATTAACACGCACACATTCACACCAAGGCTTCTTTTCCCAGAAGCCAATTAAGCTACCAGAATATCTTTGGACTGTGGGGGCACCTGGCAGAAACCCATGTGAACACGAGGAGAACATGGACACTCCATGCAGATAGCACCACAGATCCAGAATTGAACACCACAGGGTCTCAGTGCTGTAAGGCAGGAATGGTAACTACTGTGCCACCATTTCACCAATTATGGGGCATGTTACTGTTTATACTGGGGATCATCAAAGGAGAAATGAATCAAACCAGATCTTGCCATTGTTACTATAACACCATGGGGAAAACGCCATGTGTCCTTTGCCTCTTCCAATTGTAGTAACAAAAGCCATATACTGTATATATAACCTTCACAGGTCCAAAGTGTTTTTGTTTTTCATTATGACGCCTCGTACAGTACATTATATCTTTAAACACAGTAATCATATTCTTTTTAAAATACCTTTTTTGTTGTTGTTTTATGAGCCATTGAGGCCTTTTGAAATGTACTATTTTGGCCTAACTTAACAAACCGATTAAAAACAGCATACTGGGGCATGTGTAATACAAAATGTATATAAAAAGGTGATGGTAGACTTTGTATTTTGGGGGATTGTGACTTATTTTGGGTATTTATGGGTGATCTCTCCAGTTCTCCAGGAATGTGGAACATAATTGCAAAGAGTAAACTGTTGAACTGTGGATGAATTGTTGAAACAAAAAAAACATAATAGAAAGAATACCTCTAATTTCTTCAGAGATCTATCTGAACGTTTCACACTGTAAAACTTTCTAATAAATTAAGTATAATAACCAAACAGTTTTCTGACAAAACATACAAAAAGAACAAATTGCCTTTGGATTTTATTTATTTATTTATACCACTCTTGCGCATTATACCCACGCAAGCTTTTGAGAGGCAGGTATTGTACAAACTTAGTTGCTCACAAGCACCCTGCACCTGCTGAGGGGTCTGCAGGGATAAGCATTTTTTCTCATTGTTCATTGTAATAGTTATATGTGCTGGAATATGTAGTGACCTACTGTATATAGGCACCATCTGTAGCCTTTCCAGTTTTTTTCACAAGGAGAAAATTAGTTTCATCTGGACTTCTGTAACTAGGTCAGTGTAAGATTGTAGATTTACTTAATTGTTTGGGGGAAAAGCAAAATCAAAACGTTAAAAAGCACATTAGGATTCCATGGTTTATATTAGAGCCTTATCAAAAAAGTCCACTGCTTCCTTTTTCTGAAAACGAACTTGTGCCCTTTTCTCAGGTTTGGCTTTTTCAAGTACATGAAGATGGATGCACTAGAAAAACGGGGCTTTGGAGAAGGCCATCTTGCATACTGGAAAAAACGTGGTATGAAAGTAGATTTTTTAGAGCTAATAAAATCAGGTATTGTCAAAGCTAGCCTGTCAAGCTCTTGAGTGTCAAATTAATCTCTATGCTTTACTGTTAAATTACTCTTTACTATTTGAGGTTTGCCTAAAACATACTGACATTTCCTTAAATTAATATGACATGACATGACATCCATCCATTTTCTATCCACTTTATCCAATACTGGGTTGCAGAGAGACCGGAATCTATCTCAGCAAGCGATGGACACAAGTCAGGATACACCCCAGATGGGATGCCAGTCCATCTCAGGGCATACACAGACATGCACACACTCACAACAGGTCCAGTTTTCCTATTTAATGTAGTTCCCTTAAAATTGTTCAATAATTAATACTGCCTGTAAAATGTCTTTAAAAATTATATAATTTGTGTTTTTTGACATGTAATTTTTGAAAATGTGCTCTCATGTGGCATGGTATTATCTGAACTTGTTTGAGGATATGTACTCATGGCCAGTACAGTGAACAGCATTGTTACTCTAATTAAAAGTAATAAAATATGCTAAAAATATAAAGCAATCTAAGTACAAGCAACTGTATTTTAATTATTTCTTACTCAAGCCTTAATTTTGTGCTGTTAGGATAATAGACCAGTTGTTGACATTTGAGTTGAGTCTTAATGTATTTTTACTACTCAAGTTTCTTAAATGATACATTGATTTTTACTTTTTATAATTGTTTGGATTGTGTGGTATATTTTTTGTCCATAGATGTTAGAATTTAAACAGCTGAGAGTTTTTAGTGAGAGTTACAAAGAATGTGTTTCCTTTTTTTTGTTTCAGATTTTGACTTTGAAGAAAGGTTTAAAGATCATATGAAATCTGAGGGTGATGACAAGATATTCCAGTACGAAGACGAGCAAAATCCAGAACCAAATCCTGTAAAGCAGATCACAGCAAAAGAAAAGCCTATGCAAGACTATGGCGATGACTATGATGACTATAACTTCAGACGGAGACAGAAGCTCTTTTCTTTACCTCCTAGCACCAAGGTCCAAGTGGATCAGCAACTGAGACGGAGAAAGAGACGAATTGAAAATGATGTACAAAATCCTGTGGATGTGGTTGAGCAGAAAGGTGCAGGCAAGAGAAAAGTTCGTGTAGTGAAAACAAAAAAGATTAAAAAACTTAAGAAAACCACACAGAGTTTTAAAGCGGGGTCAAAGTATTCAGAAAGTACCCCGGTCCCTTTTCAAGAAAAGAAAATACCTAGGAAAATGGAATTGGAAAAGGTAAAGCAAAAAGTACCCATCAGAAGGTCTGTCACAAATGAGAGTCAGCCTGCGTTTCATCTGAGTCCAAACTCCAGGAACCTGGTTCTGCCAAAGTCTGACTATGTTAAAAAAACAATGATTGATTTTCATGTGTCAAAGAATGCCTCACTGCCTACAAGCATACAAGATCCACCACGTACATATAACATGTCTAGAAAGGGTAACAGGAGTTCTCGGACAGAAAAAAAGATATTGTCCGCTGACCTAAAGAAAACTGGGACAACTCGCAAGAAAACCCATTTGTTGGTTTTGACAGGGGAGAAAGAGGGAATGCAGGAAGCTCAGGTTGGTCTGGAAACTAAGCCAAGAAGAGATGAAGAGGAGAACCAGGTGACTGGTAACATACAGTTACCATATATATCAAGAGTTCAGAGGAGAGCTGAGGATAAGAGCCCATTGGATGTGCCTGATGATGAGCTGGCCAACAACAGGGTGTGGATGCAGCCTGAGGTCGACTCCAATATGGAAGAAGATGGCATGAAGGAAGAATTTGCCACTGTGGATTTTTATGACCAGGACGTAAATTGGGACCAAACATTTGACGTGAATCACTTGGACTTCCATGCCCTGCGCTCGGACTGGATCGACCTGCACTGCAATGTGTCTGGGAATTTGCTGCTCAGGGAGTTGGATGCGCTGCCTGTGGTGGAAGCCTACATGAGGAAGCTGAATGAACGAAACAATGGGTGAGCTCTCTGTCCTCAATTATACTTTCTAGAAATCTGTTGAAAATAGAGGGCAACACTCCTAGCATGCCTGTCAGCTTACAGTAGACTCCCAGCTGAATCTACTGTAGTAATAAAGTGCACCTTTATCACCACATTACATCTTCCTTTATGCTAGATCGTCCTCCTCAATCATTTAAGAAATTACAATATGAATTACTCCTATTTACAGCATCTACAGTGCAATAGTTTAGGAAGTCAATCCTAATAAAAATGTTTGCGGTTTTAGTGGTGGAGGAAAAAGTTGCCAAAAGGTTGCGTAATGCTTATGAGTTTAACTCCTAGTAAGGGCCCGTTCACTTTTTTGATGTAATAGCATTCTGTTGACCCTTCTAAAAATGCTGTTCCAGAATGCAAGAAGTTAATGCACATGTATTCATAGCCAAAATATTTTGCTCAAGTGTTTTTAACTTCCTCAATTGTTTCTGAAAACATCTGAGTTAATTACAATGCCATTAAAACTGTTTTGTCATTGACCCAACCTTTATCTCATCATGATAGTGTATGTATGAATGAATTTCATAAAGTGGTTAAAAAGATTTATAATAATGGGTGAGAAATTAAAAATGCAGCATGATTACTGACATTGTTGTAGAGCATAAATTTCACGTTAGGCAAATGGTGTGTTAAAAACCTTTTTTCCCTAAAAAATTCCCCTTTTCCACTAATGCAACCCTGGATAATAGAAAAAATCTTTTTAATCAAATGTTTTATGTTTTATGTGTTTCTAAGGCCTGAAAGAGTTCTTGACAACAGGTGTTTTGGATAAACAAACCATTGTATTGCTGTAAATCAGAAATGTAAAACATTGGAAAGACAATACATATTTGCAAAAGAAAAGTCAGTAGAAATAGCCAAATAAGTGATTTGTATAGTTCAATTTGGATACTAGAAGTCTTTTGTTTTGACATCAATCCAGAAAAGACCAAATTATACATCTGGTGGTTCTTTCATTTAAAAGCCAATTATATATAATATAATAATATACAGTTACGGGTATTTTATTCAAATGAAAGCAGCATGGGTTCCAGCTGAACTTGTTTAAAAAAGTAAGAAAAGCATTATGTTAAGAATGTATCAAATTATTGTATTTTCTTAGTTTCATGAGCTCTTTTGCTACAGCTATTTTGTTCATGCATTAGTGTCAGAAATGGAAAATCCACAGATCTTTTACTCTATTCTTGGTATTATTAATAATAAAAGTAATACATCTTTTTAAAATTATTTTACTGCATGTTATTTTTGTATATGATGATACTCAAGGAAATGTCCTTTTACGAAAAGTTTGATTATAAATTCATTAACATGAATATTATTTGAATGACTGGATTGATGATCTGGCACATCAGAATGAAGTATTTGAAAGAAACACAAATGTATATTAATTTACAATCATTTTGTTCTGTGTTCACGGCGATGTAACTAGAAATAAGGCCTTCTATTTTCCCACTACAGTTTCACACAGTTTTTTTACTGTTGAATCTGGTCCATCACCAAATCTGCACTCCTGTGTTTTGACTTGAATGCATAACCAGCTCAACATACTGAACATGACTGTTAGTGAGGTGATATCATATGATTATGCTACAACAAACAAGAAAAGGTGAAAATGCTGAAAAAGAAAAGAAAATGGTTGAGCTGTCAGTACTTCTTCAGGTATGAGAAGGTAACTGCTTCTTGATAGCTGTCATTCATAACTGCTCACACCTGAGCAATCTTAACATCCAAAACATTCGTTTTTTTCTGTCTTTTGTTATAGATATAACCTTTACTTGTTCTTTTGCTGCAAACGCATGCTGACACAGCTCCTCACTCGAACCTCTTCATCCTACATAATGTGCATGATAATTATTTACGGCAATGTACAGTATATGGCTGGAGAGCTAGGAATGGCACCGTCTCAGAATTTGTGCATTCATTAGAAATCTCAAGAACAAACTGCTAGGATGAGGGAGGATTTAGTAAAATTAGAAAGCATATTAAATATAGTGTCCATGAAATATTATTCAAAAATATTTTTTGGAGATTGGAGGTGTCAGAATTTTGTACCCTTAACTGTGTACTTTATGCAATATACAGTAGATCAATCAAGGTAAGCAAGTCATACAGTCAAATCATAGTGATTATTGAATAGATTACAAATTATTGAAGAATGCTCAGACGCCTCTTATTTACAGTAGGTGCATAACATTTGAATTAGCTTTAATATCATAACCAAACAAAAAATTGCGCTGTGTAAAAAGCCATTCTTTCCCATCCTCCCAGAGTGTTCTCCCTGGAGCGAGTGGTCAATGTGGAGAAGCATCTGGACGGGTGGCAGGGGAGCCGGTACCTCCTGGAGCTGGAGCTGCTGGAGAGTGGGAAGCGCAGGGTGAGGCTCGCACAGTACGTCTACGTGCTGAACCAACGCGGCCGCAACCGGAGCCTCCGCGTGCCGGCCGGGAAGGAGCCCCCGCTTCGCCCTGGGCGCTCCCACAGCTCAGAGGAGCTGCTGCTGTGCAACCCGCTGGGGTTTTCCTGGAGAGAGAGCGCCACCGTCCACTTCATCGTGCCAGGTCAGAAACCGGACGTCACTTGATTAAAACAGGGGGTGTCAACTTCGCATCCTTCTACAGCTTCTGGCAGCCTCACAACGTCTGGGGTGCAAAGTGAGACAAAAGACAGGGTCTTCTTAGATCTGCTGGAAAGTTACACCTCTCCACAACACGCGGTCTTCATTCCACATTAGCCATTTTCCAAACTTTTTTTGGATTGTGTTGTACAAATGCTTATTTTTTTATTGTATGCAAAGTATATTTTCGCTAGTGTCAACTGTGCAGAACCACTTCAGCTCTAAATGCTCTCCAAGCCTTTTTTCAATGTGACTTTCTGTCCGTTTGCAAGTGCTGCAGTGGAAAAGTCGATACACTGATATTTTAAAAACAAATCATCAGTTTGTCTTTAGTTTATCCACCTGTGCCACAATTCAGTATCACATCATTTAGGTTTTTATTTGTTGAATTTGTAGAACAAAAATGTATTAGCATAAATGAAAGATAAAGAAATGTTTTAAGGCATTTTTAAGAAATAATTATAAAAATTCGGAATGTACTTTGCTATTTGACAGTGAAAAACCAAGCGCGGTGGGTCCGACAGTTCATAGTGGACATGGAGGAGCTGTACAGGGTCACTGGGGATAAAAACTTCAACGTCATCATCATAGACTACAGCAGCACAGACATGGATGTGGAGCAAGCTCTGAGGACATCAGCGTTACACAGGTATAGCCTCTCAGACTGCCCTGGTTGTTGTTTATTGATGCCAATGGTCATTTATTGATGCCAGTGGTCAGTGGCGCAGTGGGGCACTGGATTCAGTTCTGGACCCGGGGTACTACCTATGTGGAGTTTATATGTTCTCCTCATGTTCATGTGGGTTTCCTCCTAGTGCAGTTAAAAAATGGATGAATTGATGCCGGTGGTGAAAAAGATCGAAGTGGAAGGTTATAAAAAAAAATAAGTTTAAAGGATCTAAGTAAAATCTTTGCCGCATACTCTTCACATTCATTTTAAGTACTCTATATATAAATAGACCTATATTGAAAACATTTCGGTGCCTGAATTTCTATTGTTCCTGAATGACATTAAGTGTCTCAGTTTTTTGAATCAGTGTTTATGTTTACACAAATATAGCCTAAGGAAAGAAACCAACAAAAAATGCCTCCCAATGCTGTCTTTATGCAACGGTACTAAAAACAATAATGTGTTTATACTGTACCTGTTTGAGTCTCTTTACTTTTAGTTTTTATGTTTTTAGTCTGTTGTCAAAGTTCTTTTTGCCACCCAATAGAGCGCCTGTGGGCAAACTACATCCCAGCCAGTTTTAACCGGCCCTTCAGGTAAAAAAGAAATTAGTCAATATTCGCCATACTCCCCTTTGTTTGGTGCCGTTTTTTTTTTATATAATTCATTATTCGTGGTGTTAGATGGCGCACAAACGTTTTACCACAGTGATTCCAAACTGTGCATTTCGCCACCTAGGGGAGACGCCATTGTCAGTCAGGGGCGTCTCGGGTATCGTCAGTCAAAAATGTTATTATGGCCAAAACCCGCTGTTCGTGCACACAGAATGTACGAGTCGCGCAGTACCTAGATAGACTGTATCAAATTATATGAGTGGTCATTTTGTGATGTTTTTGTTACACGATTGCAATTGAGAGGTTAAAAAAACGTGAAGGACATGGAGCCTAGTTCTTAAGAGAAACGGAAACGCAAATACAGAAAGTATGACGACAGTTTCTTGAATTTCAGTTTCACATGGACAATTATGGACACTGAAGAATGTCCTCAGTGTGTTGTCTGCCTTAAAGTGTTGGCTGCTGAGAGCATGCTCCCCAATAAATTGAAACGTCATTTTGAAACTGTTCACAGTAGTTTGATAAGTAAGCCTCGTGAGTATTTTTTGCACAAGTTTAATGAATGAACGAACAGAAAGCTGCTTTTTCTAACCAAACTACAGTCCCCAGCAAAGTTCTTTTTTCATAATACAAAGCAGCGTACCGAGTAACACAGTGCAATAAAACGCATACTATTGTAGTACCAAGGAATAAGCAAGAGCTCTGTGAATTCTGCTTCCTGCCTTTGTGAAGCTTGGTTTTCAGCACTTGCGGTTATCAAATCCAAGTTCAGATCAAGAGTCAATGTTGAGAAGGAGATGCACGTTGCTATTTTAAAAATACTACCCAGTATGAATTATGTTAACATAATTTCTTAAACAAGCTCACTACCCATTAACAGGCACAAACAAAAAGACATTGTATTCTCCCCCTTTTTTTTTAAAAAAACATTGTTATATTTTTACATTTTTATTTAGTCATTTTATTTGCATTTTACAAAGATGTTGACTACTTTTTTAATTTTTTCAAATTGTTTGCACATTCACATAATTTCAATAAAATGTGTTTTCAAGTATTTTTACTATTTTGATCAAACCTATTGGTTTTGAAAATGATTAAAAATAAAAAAAAATGGATCAACTTTGTTTTTATTTTGACCCATCATTTCCTTTTCAAATTTATAATCTTTTGTAAAATATCGCACTGCCATAGAACTTATTTTTGGCGCAGGGGAGGCATGTGGAAAATGTGACAGGTCTTGAGGCATGGACCCAAAAAGTTCGGGAACCTCTGCTTTACCAATTTGATTCAGTGGGTGCATTGTACTGTGAGGGAACCTGTGCCAAAATGAATGGATTGAAGAAGCAGAAAGTGAATGCAGAGGGTGCATAGAAAATTGCTAAACAAAGCAAGCCGCTTTCTGAAGGGGAGCTTTTGAAGGAGTGTATGATAGAAACCGTTTTGCATAATTTGCATAATGTGATGTAAAATCTTTTATTTGAACTTCTGAAAAATTCTGTTCACAGACAGGTGTATTTTTACCAGATATGAATTAGCATGTAATATGATAACCAAGTAGTTTGTAGGTCTTTAGGGTGTAAGTGTTATTACATTACTTATCTATACATATTATACCTTATATATTCTAAGTTAAATAATACATTTACTTAATATTTGAGCTGTCAGCAGAAAACACCTGGTTTCAAATCCCAGTCACTGCTGAGGGACAATCTTTTTCCAGTTAAGAATTTAAATTGTATACTGTTTAGACTTTTAATAACTTTAAACTGTGTATTACAGCATGTTAAACATTAAATATTAAAAATTTGGTGTATTTCATAAATGCAAGATTGCTCAGTTGGACAAAAGTACGCAAGCTTCCACCTTCTTCATAAATAATTTAATTATGCATCAAAGTCTTTAACTTGGTAACTTACAGTGTGGTCTTGTTTTAACGTGCTTGTTCTAACATTATTAAGCTTATATACTGTACTTCATAAAAGGTTATAACGTTTTACCCTTTTCTAAGAATACATAGTAAGAACACCACTTGCTGTTATTGTAAAAATATAAATGTTGTAATGATTTAACATCACTTGATAGTTATATGAATATGGAATCTTGTAACTAAGCAGCTAAAGAATCACAAGTGAACATTTTGGAAACATTCATTTCTTTTAAAAAAAACTTTTATTGTCCTTTTAGTGGTAATGGACAAATCATTGCACCCAATGGTTGAAAGCGCAGTCAGAGTATTACTTTCGGTTTGTTTCTTATATAGTGAAGACATAAAAATAGTCCACTATTACAGCTATAAAGCTTGTTGTTGACTCTGGGGTGAAATTTTGTGGATATGGTAAGTGATGGTTTTGTGATTAAGGCTGTCTTTGTGAAAATCTTTAAGTTAAACAAAGGAGGGAAGAAGGGTAATTTTTACAATTGGTACTCTGAAGTTCTGACTGATTTGATTCCTCTCATTTAGCTGAAATGAATAAAGAAATCATGCAGTAGTTATATGTATTGGAAGGGGCTCTGTTTTATTAACAGACACTCTGACTCAAACCTGTGTCGTACAGTGATATAGAGGTGAGTAATGTCATCCCCATTAAACAATGTGCTTATCGCGCAAATCCTGCTAAACTAGAAGCATTGCAGAAGGTGATAAACTGTACATTATTTACTGGAGTTTATTGGTACCAAACACTGATTACAGGTCACGGTTCTGTACAGATTTCAGAAAAGTGAACGCTGAAACCAGACATCTGACAACCATAGTCAAGGACTGATGCGCTGTTCCCTTTTGTAACAGGGTTACTCCCCGGAAATAAGACACAAGAAAAGTGTTATCTGACAATGTTGCGTAGCTCTGGCGGAATTTCTCTGTAAACTGAGAAGTTATAGAGGAGACACGTTGTGCATCTCCTCTTTTTACACTTGTAAGAACAATTTTAATGCGACAGAAGATATAATAACCTTTTAAATATGAAGGTGTTAACTTTACTTCACACCTGCATGTCAAGATCACGGTTTCAAAATAAAAAAACATCAAACCTTTGATCGGGTGAGAACGTCATGATTGTGAAGGATGTGAAATGTAACAATTTGTTACAGTTACCAACAGAAAAAAAAGTTTATTTTTTATTTGTGCCTTCTGCAGTTGAACACTTTGCAATGTCTGGATAGTTAAGACTTCCCAATTACTTTATCAGTCTGTGCATGGGGTGAAGGGGGGGAGATCTCCTTGACAGCTGACACTCCTCCATACGCTTAAGTAAAAAAATAATAAAAACGCCAATGTAAATGTCATATTTACAATTTGTTGAAAATAAAAATGGTTGTCAAGTTCTCTAAAGCTTTCTCAGTCAAGAATGAGAATTCACGTAGGGAGCTGTGTAAGCATGCGTAGGCTGCAAAAGATCAGCTAAAGAGGGAAGAAAACGCTTTCAGAGAAAACAATGTTTCAGGTGTGAAGAATACAAAGCCCCAATTCAATTGCAGCCTAAACGTTTCTCCACACACCCTGCCCCCACTCATTTGGAACATACACAAACAGAGCACTGAAAGCTTTATAGTAGATGGTCAGGTGTTGCGCAGGGAAAGTACGTACAGTAATTCTGGTTTTATGAACTCACACCTGGGAACTCACACAAAATAAGGTTTTGAACCAGGCACTAGATCTTGTTTATATAAAAGTTATATCACTGGGCAGAGTGATGGAGACTGAAATAAATGACCAGCCCTACCAGCTTTTTCCCTTCCCTCTGGTGCGAGATGATAACACATTGACTGGCACGAAACATTCCCTCCCATTTTTAATCATTCTGGGTCCGAATCAAAGTGCGTGAGAGAGAGTAGGAAGAGACACAGAAAAAAGTGTATCCTGTCTTAATTTCAAATTATATTTTACCTTCATTTTTTTACCTTATAATTTTGTATGGTACTTATTTTCTGATTGTCATTCAATGTATATTTGAACAAATTCTTGTAAATTAATGGTTTTACAAGACGTGGAAGAAGTGCAACAAATTATTACATTGCAAATTTTATTATTGTTGGTTACTAATAGTTTATTCTAACACCTGACTTATTTACTTGTTTAGATGTAAATAAAATATTGAACTAAGTGTGACATTCAGAAAAAAACAATCGCGAATAGTCTGTGGTATTTGTGTAGATGAAACTTTTCTAGATGTTTTTAAAAAACAGAAGCTGTAGAACGGTCTTTACGGTTAGTGCACGGTGTGCTATTTGTCAGCAACCTGCTGATCTGCTTAACACCTGTAGAAAGCATGATTTTATTTCTGTATGGAATGCGTGTTGCATTTACTAAATGAAAGTGTTTAAAATGTTTAAGAAGTTAAAAGAACTTACAACTCACACAAAGACACTTCCTAAGCTGATCGTGCAGAAGAAAAACCACCCATTTTTCGTGCATAAAAAGTGTTTTTAACTGATTTACATGTATATGAAGTCTTTTCGTGTTGATTTAAGTGTCTTTCTTTCAGTTGATTGCATGATTAGAATGAAACAACTCGGGGTTATTGTTATGATTTCTCTATTATTATCTAATCCCTCAACTCGTTCCCTTGTGCTTATTTTGGAAATATTTTGACGTTCTTTTTAACTCAGAGTTTGTAATGTCGGGCACTCTGATCAAGTTAAGCTTTGATGCAGTACAAATAAATGTATTTCCCACAAGCTATACTGTAGTAGCTTTAAAACTATATAACATCGCGCTGTACGCATGTGGCACATGTTTGTTCAAGTTCTAAAAGTACAGTATGGAAAAATGAGCAACAATAACAACAGAGCATGCTGATGAAAATTCCTTCCCATCCCCCGGGCAGAACTGTCTATTCTACATAAACAAGGTGGGGTGTAACACTCCTAGCCTTTGTGAGAAGTACAGAGCTGCGTTAAATAAAGTGGCTGCAATGGAATATACTAGTAGATAAAAGTTCATTCCAAGCTGGAAAGAAAATACTCTATAAATCTCCTCTCCTCTATAAATCTGTCTCCTCTATAAATTCAGTTTACAGACTGTCCAAGGTCATTTATTATTAATAATATCTTCTGTATCACATTAAAATTGGAACACTTGTTTTTTACAAGTGTAAATCCACCTATTTTTCTAACCGCTTTATCCAGGACAGGTAACAGTTTCAACAATACTATTTGGTATCGATAGTATTGGTACGATTTTGACAGACTTCAGAATGCTTCAACTGATGCTTAAAAATGTAACAATGCATACTGTGGTAAGGGGACAGAACATCTTTCTGCCTGTGAAAAGATTTGCGTTTTTAGTTTATTCTTATGTGTGAAAAAACGGGAAATACAGAAGGAGTTTCAGTAATTAAAACTGAGGTCTGGAAAAACCCTATCTGAAAAATAGACATTTAGTACATTTAAGGTTGTGAAAACAGTGACAAATCACCCCGTATAAAATACAATTTTGAAATACAAGCAGCTTGAAATTATTAGTTGTTATTTATAACTCACTTAACTTTGAACATTTTGTGATATTTAGAAATACCAAAAAATTCAATATAGTTTCCATAAATCAGAGTATATATAGAATATAGTCAGAAGGAGCATGTAAAAACTTTTCCAGAATAACCACAGTAAGTAACCGAATAAAAGACTTAGATACTTAAAATGTTCATGAAAAAGTGGAATACTGGTGTGTATTTTTTATTCAAACTACCAATACCAGCCATATAGAGCTTACATAATGTTTATATTCCTAAATTAATATCATTTATGATGTTCAGAGACATTATGCTCCTGTTATTTTTGTTATTAGCTACCAAAATTTCCTTTAGTTGTAAAATTCCATATTAATATTCAATATTAAGCGGATTTAAACATGCACAGTAAAGAGATTAAATGAAGCAATCGTTTTACTAACAACCAATGCACCACAAGTGCCACCTGTCAGTCATTTTGGTCTGCCAATCACGTATTACGGTAGAACACGCTAATCTGCAGATAATTTCGTGTGGTACGGGGGTTTACCGCACATTTTGAATGGCTGCATTTTTGGCTGCCATTTATTTTGTGGCATCCAGGGTGCAAAGAGAGGGATTTATCTGCAGGTTACTTTTAGTTAATTAGAAGGCAGCTCATCTCTGGTGTGGCTTCTGTAGGAATATTAAGAGTTTAGTGCTTAGTAGCAGTCTTGGGTTTTCTGGATGACCAGAATGTTGGGCCTCTGAAACGCCTTCTCTGTAAATACTGTATATAATGTGACATGTTTTGTTGTGTGTTGTCTCATTGTTTTAAAATATCAGTCCAGCCCCATTTGTAACAATTTAATGTAACTTAGTGTGTTATATGTGTTTTGTCTTACATAGTTTATTGTAATAAATATTTGTTTTAGCCAAGTGTGCCTGGATTATTACTCCTCTCAACAAATCTGTGCCAGAGAATAAAGAATTCATGTGCCTCTAATTGTACCAGCTGCTTGGGAATAAAATCACTTACAAGTCACTGATTGACTAAACCGCTCGGTCAATTCCAGATTTTCAACAGTTTCGAAACCCCCCCTTGTAACAATATTCAGACTATTCTTACTAATTGTGTACTGCCAGTGCGTCTTTAAGCCATCTCCCATTTCACAGGTACCAATACGTCCAGCTGACGGGGAACTTTGAGCGCTCTGCCGGCCTGCAGGCTGGGATCAACCTCATTACGGTAAGCAGTGTTGCAGGACACAGTAAAAAATCTGAAAAGGACAGAGTCAGATCAAACTAGGTGCTTATCATTTTAACCATGTTTCTGTCAAATATCTACACGTTAATTACAAACATGTTTTTCTTGCGCTTCTGGTTTCCCTGCTTTTATCAACAGAGAAATATTGCAAATATCAACTGCATTTGTCTGATGATGATTTGTTCTACTTCATTGAAATGCTGTTAAAATATTTATAGACTTGTACAGTATGTGTTAACGTGTGAATAGTAAGAAGCAGTTTTGTGCTGCAAGCATACATATGGTGTAAACTGTAGCTTGTTGTTTTCTTGACAGCTGACAGCTGATGGCTAACATGTGCAATTTAAAAATACAGTCCAGCCTAAGTTGTTGACCTTTTTAATATATTTTCATATTCAGTCTTTTATTATAAGATTCTGTTATTTTAAGGCAACTCATTGTCTGCTTCATCACTTGTGAAAACTTGGCTGCTGAAAGTAAATGTAATTTAGTCATTATGTTTAACCTTCTCTAGTATTGCTAAATAATACCAATGAAAATATAAACTGGAAATATCATGATTTGAATGAGAATCAGAATGTGCTTCAAATTACAGCAACATAAATCTTAAAATGAATATTTTTCTTTATGAAAAGCTTTACATTATCCTGTTCTTCTCAATATGGTAGGCAGTACTAAAAGGACTCCTCACAATTAACAGTCTTACAAGAGCGTAGGAAGCTGCCATTTACAGTAGTTACAGCCAGAGTTGTAAAACGGCATTCACTGCTATTCTAGTCATGCAGTTGTTCTATTCACATTATTTCCAGACACTTATATTTCAAACATTTCCAGTGGCGCTTTCGCCACCTTCACCGACAGGATAGTGCTGTGCTAAACATTCCCATCTCTGTGTCACATCGTAAGCAGGTCAATTCCAGCGATTAATTTTAACGTGTGAGAAGTTCAATAGCAGTGTACAATGTCAGTGTAAAAAAATAAAAATATCAGTGGAGGACGAGGTAGATCTCTGACACTATGGAGATAGTGGATAAACCAGTGCGCCTCAATGTACACCCTGATACAGTACAAAATTATGATTTCCTTTAGAAATTATTAAAATTGTTTTTTCTTACATTTTGGAGGTCTTTTGGTTTATCAGGTGGTACTGTCATACATAAGCAGCACTGATATATGACATGCTACCATCCTGACAAGTTACTAAAGTTACTAAACTGATTTGCTCTATTGACTACAGATGTTAGCTTGCTAGCAAGATGCTAGCTCTCTGTCAACCTTGACATCTGCTATAGTGTCAGTGTTGCCAATGACAAAACATTTCTCCCGTAAGAGCTTCTGTAAGAGGTAAGTGACAGCAACCGCACCCAAGGGCGCATCCTCTAAAAATAAAGGCATACCTGAAAATGGCATGTCAGTATCACAATTTGCACGTGCTCTTTATTCTTTATTCCGTTTGTTCATAACTTTTGTGTATGATCAATGGTTCAGTTTCCAGTGATTTGCTTATGTCTTGTGTTTTGGAAAATAATCTGAAAAATAAATGGAGAATTTAAGTCTCGGAACTGGAATTTAAATCTGAGGTTACAAGAAAACAGAAATGTACAGCCAACTTTCAAGGGAAATTCTGACGAAAAGGTGCTCATAATATCACAAATGACAGCTTCACATCATTGATTTCCTCAGACAAGCACAGACACCAAATGCCTGGACGTGCAGTTCCTCTCATAATCTAGTCTGCAGGCTTACTATTGGCGACAACAATTTCACTGGAGTAAAACTATCCTCTCGCATGAAATAAAAGAACAAGTTTTCATCTCTGTATGTGCATTGCTATATACTGTAGATTCTAACAGTAAGCAACACTTTTGTTAATGGGATTTTTTTTTAACAGGCTTTAAGGTTTCTGCTAGATTTTACTTCGTATAGACAAACTTTTTTTGACCTTGAGGGACAGTACTGAAATTTTACCACAGGTGTGGAAACAAGATTAGATTGTCAGCTGCGTTAGATGCAGTACGTTACAGACAAATACTTTGGAAACTAGTCAGAGGAAAATCTATTTTGTTACAAGTTTAACAACACTAACTAAAACTTTTTGTGTTATTTATTTTAGAAGCCCAAACTACCGCAACTCTGTTTATCAAGGCTGTTATAATTTGTATTTCAAGAACATTAATTTTCAAGAATGCTGCAACACTGTTAAAAATATTACGTTTTTTCTTCTTGTGTGGGGGAGAGGAGAGAGTAGTTTGTTGCATTACTTAATGTATACTAAATGTTCATTTGTTTTCTCATAAATTTACTCTGAAAATGTAATTTGTAAAGAATAGCACTTTGTTTCAGACCAGAGTTCTTTTCCTGTAGGAGGGAAAAGTTCTGTATAGTCAAACAGTGCAAAAATACACTGTAAAATGTTTTGGTTAGAAAATGCATTTACACTGTAAATTCAGGGTTGTGGGGGAGCTAGCGCCTATCCTGGCAAGTAACAGGTGCAAGGCAGGGTATACCCTGGATGGGATGCCAGTCCATCATGGGCCAGACAAACAGTCACACACACTCACACCAGGGTCAATTTAATATTTTTATATGACATTATAATGTAACAAAGCAGTGGGTCAAAAAATCACTAAGCTTTATACAGAGGTGTGTGTTTTGTGTTCCCAGACACAGCTCTGGACGAGATAAATATTTATTAACAATAAAATAACACACAAGCATACAGCACACAAGTTACATACACCAGATAAACTATAACACATCCATACAATCTGTGCATTCCAGAGTCCTGTTTCCTTTCCACACAGGTTTTTGTGCACTGTTTTGGGATTTGGCTCTTTGTGTGAAAAAAAGTTTCCCTAAGAATTAAATAGCCATGGCATGGGTCATACTTAGGTAATTATATTTGTTGGGAAATATGTTCTGTCAAATTCTCACATAGGTGAAGATAGACTTTGTGTTTAGGTTTGCATGAAAATAGTGATGTTGGGTGGGGGGGGGGACTTTTTCAGTTCTGCTTTCTTGTTTTTGGGACCTGAAAAAAACAAATAAAGCTTCCTGGACTTTGCCACATTTTGTGTATGCAAGACAAACTCTTACCTTTGAAGGTTACATCTATATTTAGACATTTACTGTATGTGGTCCAGCAGAATAACTTTATTTTGAGGAAAAAATGTTCATATAGAACAGGAAACTGAGATTTTTTTATATGCTGTAGTTTATCGCAAGGATGTATGATAGTAGTTACATACATCTTTTTGTGCCTTGATTTTTGTTAGATTTGTAAAGGTTAAAACACTCAGGGTCCCCGGGTTTCTGCTTTCTCACATACTGTGAGACCAAGAGAACAAAATCTGTGCGGATTTAATAAGCGTCTTTTTGTCCTTACTGTTTATACATTTGTGACCTGATACTTTCTTGTTTTATTTGACAAACTGTTTTTTTTCTTTGTGCCTCACAGGATGACCACAGCATTGTGTTCCTGTGTGACCTGCACATCCACTTCCCTGCGTCCATCATTGACAGTGTTCGGAAGCACTGCGTAGAAGGCAAAATGGCCTTTGCTCCCATAGTCATGAGATTAAACTGTGGGGCAACACCACAAGAACCAGATGGTAACCTCTTCAGTGTTTTACTCTATATTTGAAGTTTTCCTTCTTTTTGTATAGTATGTTTGCCTTCTGGCCCCATAATCCTTGTACACTTTGAGACCATACAGATTTTAGATTTTTTAAATTATCTCCTTAACTAAGAGGAAGTTATGCTATTTCTTTAATTATATTACTGTTGTAAGGAGGGCTGTTTATATGGAGAATGTATAGCCTTATAAGGCAATATAAACAGAATTTATGTTAAAAAACAATTGATTTAAATTATTTTATTTAATCAGATGTCATCTCAATTGAGAACAGATTACAGGGACACCCTGGAGATCCATTGATCCAGAAGGCCATTTACTAGATCACATTGAGTCATGTACTGTACCTTGCTGAAAAGTACAATAGATGTGTCCTACCCAGGTTTGGCACACAGCACCCTTCCACGCTTGTAGGACGCTGCTATTCTTGGGAAACTCCTGGCATGTGGTGTTCAGTGTACACAAGGGCAAGGTTCTATGTGCAGAAAGCAAAAACAAGACTTACAGTGCCTTGCGAAAGTATTCGGCCCCCTTGAACTTTTCAACCTTTTGCCACATTTCAGGCTTCAAACATAAAGATATA